ACTCAGATTCTCTTTCAATCTTCCGCTGGTTTAGACACACCTCCACCATCCAGCCAGCTTAACGGTACTACCCTCTCTAATGTTGCTCACTTTCGGTATCTCGGCATCCCACCCGTCCGCCACCGCAGACATCGATGAAGAGACTCGGCATCGGATCAGATATGCATCTCAAGCCTTGGGCGGACTCCGAAATAGTGTCTTCAGCTGTAGGGAGCTGCAATTATCCACAAAACTGTATGTATATCGAGCAGTGGCCCTGCCCACCCTACTATATGGCAGTGAGACATAGGTCACGTACAGGAGGCACCTCAAGGCACTTGAAAACTTTCACCAACCTAGTCTACATTCCATCCTCCAAGTTCACTGGGAAGACAAGAGAACAAATGCCAGTATTCTTGCTGACACCAACTGTAGGAGCATTGAGGCTACCATTATCCATGAACAACTACGTTGGACTGGCCATGTTACCCGGATGGACGACAATAGACTGCCAAAGCAGCTACTTTACAGTCACCTAATGAATAGTAGACGTAATGCTTGAGGGCAATTGAAAAGGTATGAGGGTAGTCTTAATGTCATGGTCACGTTGACTTCTAGTCTGTTTTAACTACTGATTCTTATTAAATTCCACGACCGCAAAACATGAGTGGGTTAGCTACCCCTGAGAAGACGTGTTTTTCCCCGTAGAGGCTACACTTGTGTTTCCGTCCCTTGTCCCGCCTTTGAGAAGACAGCTATCAATGCGTTGTTTACTCCACTTTCTCCTGGGAAGCTCAATCTTGAATTAATCTGTGTAAATCAACTCAAGTAATTCGCCAGACCTTTGTCAACTGAGGGTCATCTTTGAATGAGTAACAGTTAGAGCAGTTTGTAATTTTTGTCATTGCGTGAGTAGTGATCACTGGCAACTCAGGGATATATATACCCGCGCATCACGCAGGGCTAGCGGGTCCTGACGCTCTCCAACGTTTCTCCAGGTATGTTTATGTGTAGCCATTCAGTTTGATTCAGTCAATTGTAGTGAATATCAGTGTTCATCAGTGTTCATGCTTTAACAGTTGAATTGTCATTCACCCAGTGTAAGAAGTACTATAACATAAATATGTCTGTCGTCTAGACAAGAGATTTGTTTGTGTTGACATGCTTCCCAGTCCGTCCCCTGACGCTCTCCAACGTTTCTCCAGATCCAATTGTGACTCTTGGATCATTCGACAACTGCCCGGGATGCAGTAGATACCCAGCAGGGACCATATATGAAACGATGGCACCGATGCTGCCCAATTAATATGCTCAACTGCCTCGTAGTGCCAGACCCCAGACTCGCCATGTGTCTTGCTACCACCGACCACAACAACGGTCATGAGCCCCAGTGTTCTACCCTGGGTTACTCCTTGGAAGTATATGTCCACAGAGAGTGTTGTACTATGTATGTTGGGGGTAATTAGTTGGAAATAATTATCCTATGTTGGGTAGCGGACCCATGTATCGGCTGGTTCCAGTATTAATGTGTATGTTGAGTAAAGTCTTGTATCTGTACTGGAATGCCACGTACCACCAGTAGGTGTGAGAAGTACAGGAATCTACAATGAGTGCCATGTACTATGTATTGTGAGTAGGGCCAAGGAACTGGTCCTGCTATGTAATGTAATGTAACCCCAGTAAGGTTGTGTGCAGCAAGAGTGTAAGATCTGAGTAATTACTGTTGAGTAAAGAAATAAGAAAATAAGTAAAGAAGAAAGTACTGAGTCTGCAATAAGCCCAGGAGTTGAGCCTGGTAGTTATATGCTAATAATACATCTTTTTCCCTTTGATTTCATATTAATAAACTTGTTCTTATAGCATTTTAGGTGTACTCATTTCTCCCACAGTATTTTACCTTTATTTCCTCCAAGTGACTTGGTACCAGAATTACAATGCCCATGTGCCTAGACCCTCGACCATGCTACCAAAAGAATGACCATGCTACCAAAAGAATGTCCATGCTACCAAAAGAATGTCCTTGCTACCAAAAGAATGTCCATGCCAGCAAAAGAATGTCCATGCTACCAAAAGAATGTCCATGCTACCAAAGAATATGAAGGAACAATTGAAAAGAACTAAGACAAGAGAAGTAAGTAAGATAAGGGTGGTGAAGGTGTTGGAAAACACGCGCCCTTACATTAAGATAAACCTGAAAAGGTGCCAATCGACCCCCTCATCTGGGAGTCGATTACTCCACATCATAATGCTTGGAGGAGCACCACACGGGAAGGTGTCAATACTTTCGAGTTAGCTCGACTGCAAACCGTGGCAGACAAGCGTCAATGTCGAAAAGACGCTGCCACCGCCTTTCCCACAGTAGATGAAGCCCTCCAAATGTGCAACGAATGTGGACGACGTTGCGGGTCCCGTATCAGCCACTTTAGTCACCTCAAAACTCACCAATGAAGTTGACATCCTTAATAACTCACATCATTATATCATAGCTGGATGATCGTCATACTCGATTCCGAGTGACAGCAAAGTAGTATAATAATAAAATAATAATAATTAACGGTTTATTGAAAAAGTTTTGCAGCTGAAAATATACATTGGACATAAATGACTTATTACTTACATTGGTGGTTTAACAAAAGCCTTCATTAGAGAAACGTAAAGGTACATACAGTGAACATACAGATTAATGTAGGTGTTGAACAGCAAACACGTAGTGTAGTAACTCCCTCCCAGATGGTGTGAGGAGGGACCTCACGTGGTGTAGTAAGTTCCCTTACAGATTGTGTTATGAGGGACCTGGCGTGGTGTAGTAATTCTCTCACAGATGGTGTTATGAGGGACCTCACGTGGTGTAGCAATTCCCTCACAGATGGTGTTATGAGGGGCATCACGTGGTGCAGTAATTCCCTCACAGATAGTATTATGAGGGACCTCACGTGGTGTAGTAATTCCCTCACAAATGGTGTTGTGAAGGACCTCACGTGGTGTAGTAATTCCCTCACAGATGGTGTTATGAGGGTCCTGACTTGGTGTAGTAATTCCCTCACAGAGTGAGGTGTGGTCCCAGGCCTTCCTATCGTAGAGGGATTAACACATCAATGGTTGTTGTTGGGTCTCACGGGCAGTTATCACTGGGCACCAGGGACCTCACTGTGTAAAGCTTAACTTCGGTACGACTCGGCATTTACTGTTGAGTTGTTCTCACTGACTTAAACACTGTTCACCACTGTTCACCTATGTTCAACACTGGTTCCATTCCTTTCCTAAATGAAATTGTAACTTCTGGCGAGAACTTGTTAATATTCAGGTGGGGAGGAGGGTTCAGGGGAGGGAGTTGGTATGGGCCAACTTAACAGTTGACCTAGCTGCTCCCAGAGGAGAGCCATGTACGTCTTGACCCTTCGGTGGTCAAGGATGTGTGTGTGTTTGTGTGTGTGTGTGAGTAAAATGTGAAAATGTCCAAAGGATGGCCACAAGACTGGTGCCTGCACTATGGCACCTCAGTTACCCAGCGAGATTAGAACGCCTACAACTGCCTATAGCTTATACTATAGACGAGCAAGGGGGGACCTAATTGAAGTACATAAACATCTCGGAGGGCACTACTCAGTTGGGTGTCCCTACCTGGAGCTGGCGGACGCCCGCCCCACATGGGGTCACAGCTCAAGGTTGATGAAGCCACACGTCCGTAAATTGTGAGGGCAAACTTATCGGAGTGGGAATTGTGAACTCTTGGAACAATCTGCCAGCGAGTGTTGTGATGGCACCGAGTGTGAGCTCTTTCAAGACCAGACTTGACCAGCACTGGAGCAGGTTCAAATACATTCAGGAGCAGGGGTGTCATGGTCACAATGGCATGGCTGGTCTATTTTTTGTTTTCTTTCTTTTCCTATTTCCTTATAGTTAACTTTTCAACTCTTCAACCCTTTTTTCTCCTAATTTCTTACTTCATTCATTTTCTCCATTAGTTCTGTCTAAGTTATTTCATTTCATATGGTTACTTCATAATCTCTGACCTTTGGTAGCATGGCGAGGGTTTGGGCACATGGGTTCTATAATTCTGGTATCAAGTTATTGGACAAGAATAAAAGGTAGATACTGAGGGAAAATGATACCCCTAGTATACTCTATAGGCAGCTATAGAGCATATTAGGTTCGAAGGGAGGGATCCCTATCATAAGTGGTGTCCTGCCTTGAAGGAGAGTTGGCAATGAATGGTTGTCAAGTGCAGTTGGTGTCGATGGCCGTCTTGACAGATATTGCAAGTCAAAATCAGTCCCATTCATTGACAACTGGGACAACTTCTTCGGCAGAAGGGACCTTTATGCTAGGGATGGGGTGCATCTGTCTAGGGATGGTGGCAACCCTGACTGGTTCTCTCGAGAAGGCAGTTCATAAGATGTCGAAGTCTTTAAACTGCTAGGAGAACATGTGAGCATGGGGGTGGAGAAGACTGCAGTGGGAGTGGGTAAACAAAGTGAAAGGTTACAGGGAAATAGTGATAGGAATTATGACAAAACTAAATTAATCAGGGAGTTAAAACCTAAACGCGACAAAGAAAGGGCTCAGAACACGACTAACTTAAATGTCTACTACGCAAACAGTAGAAGTATGAGAAACAAAATTAATGAAATCAGGGCGTTGGTATGTACCGAAAAAATCGATATAATAGCCTTCACCGAAACATGGATAAACTTAGACTCAAGTGAGTTACCTGTCGAATACCAAATTGCAGGTTACAAATTATTCCATACAGATAGGCACATTAGAAAAGGAGGAGTAGTAATCTAGGTCAGGGATGACCTGAAGTGTGAAATAAATAAGGAAATAAAAACTGAGCGGAATACAGAAACAATTTGGATAGAATTAATCGATGGTAGGGAAAAATTAGTCACAGGAGTAATATATAGACCTCTTAATCTTGATAGAGTTAATGAGCGACTTATTTGGATGAAATGCGCAGGGCTTCCATACATAAGAACATATGAATGGAGGAAACTGCAGCGGACCTATTGGCCCATACTGGGCAGTCCCATTTACACCTAACCCCTATTGCTCATATATCCATCCAACCTATGTTTGAAGCTATCCAGCGTATTCGAGTTAATGATGATATTTGGTAACTTGTTCCACTCGTCCTGGACCCCTATAGCCTATTGCTAGTAAGATACTGAAACTTTCGTGACAAGAACAAGTACTGTAGCCATCATCTCCACCAGAATACTGCGCCTTGATTCACAGTTCCATGTCTACTGTCGCAGATTCTCCTTTTCTAAATCTTCATCATCATCCGTTCTGAAATGAGAGAATTAATTGCTAAAGAGAACACAAAACAAACAGAACTGAAGAAATTAGCTGTGTTTCCGAAGAACACACTCCTTCACTATTGCTGTGTCAGTGTACAGTACATTGAAGGTATCACAGCAATGATGCATCCATTATAAGAAAACTAACGATATAAAACAAGGTAAGGGAACAGTAAGAAGCGCAAAACTCATTCAAACAACAGAAAAATATTTTGAGTCGGACATACAGATAAAAAATGCTTTCAAAGCTTCAATTCTATTTGCAAAGAACTTCATTAAATTGTGAAATAAGGATAAAAAAACGGCTTCGTTGGCATTGCATTATGATTATTTTTCAAGTACTGCTTATCTTTAAGTCTGCTCAGTGCTTGTCTAGTCTCTCATCAATGACTGACCCAAACTAAGCAGGGGGTAGAATGGTGTCAGCTCTTGTTTTCTTAGTCCTACAAATATACTTGTAGGAAAACACCAAAGTTTAAAAGCTGTGGAAAAATGTTAAACAATACAAATCAACCACATAGCTTAAAATCTCTCCCAGATAATCCTGAGATACACAGAAAATACCCCAAATTTCACTGTTCTACACAAAATACTTTTCCGCTGAATCTTGCTAACAAACTCTACGAAAGGAAAAAATCGAAAACGAAACGACTGTACTGCTGTAAAGATTAATGAACAAGAGACCAAAATATAATCAGGTCATTGTGGTGGGATGCAATCCTAAACAAGGTTCTTCAAACTCCAGAGCACGAGCAGTAGATATATTCAATAAGTAGTACAAGACTTGGCAGGATAACCAACCGGTACAGAAACAGGAGCCAGCACAAGGAACTCCTCGTCGTAACCAGGCCTGGGCCGATATGAGAGAAGTTAGCTAGTTAGGCAGGGAGAGTTGCTAGACATTACTAGGACAATAAATGAGATCCTCTAGTTACTTGACTAGCGCGGTACAGACATAGTACATCTGGACATAGTGAGTAGACATAGGCATTAGACATAAGCATAGATATCAGACATGCTATGATAATATATAGTAATACAGACATGTGAATAAATGGTACAATGAATGGTAACAGAGTCTTGCCGTCAGGCGTGTTCACATATCTTGGTATTTACATATCTATACAGTCATCTCTCATTTTCCTGCGATTAATGATAAGAACAAAATCTAAAGCACAACAATAAGTAGTTTTTTTTGATAACTTAGAGGATTTGGAGGATGTACATACTCAACCACAGCAATAAAAGGATCGTGCTTGTGTACTCACTGGGGACCTCAAATCTGTATCCGACTGAGGAGTTTCAACTTAATAAACTTCAGATATATTTATCCTTCATCAGATCTTCTTTCAATAGGAAATTGTTATATGAATTAGGTAAGCAAAACATACTGTCCAAATAAGACTCCCCTAATGAAATGATCAAATAATGAAAAAATAATAATACAAAAACAGACATTTTACACATTTACATCAAGAACTAAAGTTGCTGAAGCATGACAACCCTATAACCCTTTCTCTGCTGGAGGCGGAGTTTTATAAGGCTAACACAGTGCACCTGCCCCTACAGATGTTAAGCATTAACCCAATAAACAGGGAGTATTCACGAAGACTGTACCCTCATCGGCCATCATAATACTGTATACGAGGCCGATTGATGATCCATGCAGCATCACGCTCAGTCTCATGACGTCGTAGTGAGTGTGAGCCACCAAGCACTCCCCCCCCCCACCCCCATCACTCACTAACTGTACTACAGTATAAGGATTCAAGAAAATATATTTTTTAAGAGAAAAGTAAAGGGATATAAAGTGAAACGGACTGATGCTTACAGTTATACTCCTCTGATAAGGAAATGGTTTTACATTTCTTAACTCTGAAGAGACCTTTATGAACACCAAAAAGCATACCCACAAGAAGGAGGTTGGATATTAACGAAAAATCTTACCCTTTTTGATTAATTAGCTTCTTGATCTGAAGCGTTTCCCTTTGAAGGAGGAGCAGCCTCAACCACAGAACGGAGACCATCAGATACAAGCAGAGGTAACGTCTATTAAAGGCGTTTGTAGCATTCCACATATTTCTCTTCTATTAAAAATTCACTAAGGTCGTGGTTGAAGCCATTTTCCTTACGGCAGGAAGGCCTGGACCCGGGGGAAGGGGGTGGGGGGTGGGTGGGGGGTTGGTTGGGTTTGTGATGGACACGTGACCCCTATAGACACATGCAAATATTTCCTTGTGACCCTGGAGCATGGATCCATATACAGGGGCCAGACGGTATTATTTTACTGTCCATATAATTTAAACATCCACGTATCATTGAAGATCGACAGTATAATTTACTGTCTATACTCAAGCGCGCAAGGCAAATTCAGTATGCACCTACAAGGAACTGTACGTGTGGCTGGGTAGGGGAGAGGAAGATGGGTGAGGCCTAACCAGAACATTTTCATGTTTTCACTCAAGCGCCAGCGACTGCTTAAAGACAACATATAGTCAATATGCGCCGTCAGAGTTTCAGGCTAATGTTAGTCGATTTATATATAACCTGTTGGGATGCTCGACATGATGCTTTAGAGGTATTTGGTAGCTTTATATAGCTGTTGTCGAAACTATAAAAAAAGCTGAGGACGGAAAACATGGAACTTGAGTCATTTTCTAAAGCTGAATTTCTGATGTCATATATTGTGTGTCACAATGCACTTCGTTATATAAAATTTCTCAATGTAAGCCTTCAAGGATGTGTTATGAAATCTTCACAGCTCTATGTCAGAGGAAAACAGTCTTGTCTGTGTTATCAAACAGTGTCATGGTGATATTGATCAAGCTGATGACACTTAGTACTTTTTTTTTTTAGGTTAAGGTGGGGAAAGGATGGAAGGCATGCTGGGGCTCAAGGCACAGCCATACATAAAGGATAGAGAAGTCACAACATATCGTCGTGGGGGGAAAGGTTGGAAAAGTAGTTTAATGAGTTAAACAGAGGGGGACGACACCCCTTTGTTTTACATATGACTGAGTTTGTTGGCTAACAAATCTAACCTAGGATTTAGTATGAGGTTTATTAAAATCTTTTTACTGTATTACGTTAATGACTCACTAGATAGTGACTTGTTAAATCTGAGTTTTAACCTAAGGTGGATCGTTGTGGCGGACATAGAAGGGGTCGCCCTCCGTCGATGTCTTCCCCGCGTAGGTGGTCTGGGTTGTGAGGGTCGTCTAGGAGCTTGTCCCAAACCTTCTTCCTTAGGCGATGGAACCTGACGTTGGGGGCCTCCGTTTTACTTCTCAGGTGGATAGTTTCCGCTGTCTCCTAGTTGGGTGGCACTTGGCCACTGGCTGACCTCAGACACTTCTTTTGAAAGCTCTGTAGTTGTTGTAGTCTGGTCTTCCTGAGTGTGACGAGAGTGGTACGTGTGGGTACTCCAACACGGGCCTCACCAGTGCCTTGTACAGGTGGACTTGAATCTTCTCAGGCATCAGTTTAAAGCATTTTAATTCGGCGGCGGCGATTTTGGCTTTCTTTATTCTGTCCGTCAAGTGGGAAGTGATGCCCGTAGGTAGTAGGTCGTAGGCAGCTACCAAACAGGGAGGTACTACCGCCTGGGAAGATATTGGAAGCATAATGTATTGTCTAATGGTAGACCCTGCTGCCATATGGCATCACGAAAATTGTGACCAAGTCTCAGGTTGTTGATCTGACTTTCTGCCTCATTTACACACAATTGCAGGGTCTCAATTGTTTCTCTGACCATTGACAATACAACATATATATATATATATATATATATATATATATATATATATATATATATATATATATATATATATATATATATATATATATATATATATATATATATATATATGATTTAGGGTGTGTCAATTTTGTCAACATGTTAAAAATCAAATTTGGTAGTCAAAATATTGTGCCTCTTTATGTCTAAACTTGAGATTAGCAAACAAAAATGAATTGAAATAACCCTCACCTACATCAATTATACCTTAAAGTTTCAAATATCAGTATTTCAACAAATTAATGAGACTTGATTAGAATTATTCACTTGATATTAACTAATCTCATGTAAGCATATGGATTATGGAGTATTTTATGGTTCTATAGCTTGTGTACAATATGCATGTCAGAACATGAACATGAACAGGCTCTCCGTGTGGGACAGTTTAATTCTTGTTTTGACTTGTACCAAGCGTGAGGATAAGGCGCCCGGCTCACTCTCCTTCTAGATATCATAGACGGTGGTTTGCTCTCATTGCACTTGCACCTACTCTACCAGACGAATTCTACATTTTAATTATTGTAAGTAGGGCATATTGATTGTCGCAGTTACTTATATCATTGTATAAAACATTATGTTCTAAGAAATTATTATGTTATTTCTGTTACAGCATTTTTGATAAACAAATTGATATTTTTTGAAACAACAATTGAATTATGAAACATTGAAATATTTTTCTATTTGTCAGATAGTGTGAAGATGTCAAAATTGAAGACAAGAAGTCAGTTGTCAACCCACTTGAGCCTGCTAGTTGGTAAAGGGAAGGAGCTTCCTGTATCAGAACTTCCAACAGTGAGAGACATGCTAAGATTAGGGTTACTCCTTCGAGAAAAAAATGCAAAGGACAGAAGGAACTATACAGATAAAGAACTCATAAATGACATGATAGTCCCTCTTCTGCATCAATGGACAAAAGCTAATGCACTATTCAAACCACCTGTGATTAATCAGTGTCGAACTATTGAGCTAAAACTAACGAAATTATGGCACAAAGCAGTTGAAACATCACTTGGTAAAGGAAACTTGGCCAGGAAAAATGAATTTCTGCACACACTTGATACTCTGTTTGACATTTTGACCTGCAAGTGCTCCATACAATTATGTTCTGAATCCAACTGTTCTCACTCAGGTAAGAGAGAAAATAATTCCCACATTGATTGTGGTTGTCCTCGTGAAAAGAAGATCCCTGTTTT